CAGCACATCCAGAAGCCCTGTGTTCAGATGCCATTCACACTGCCTTTCAGTTTTTCACAAATGCACGGCCCCAGTGGGAGAAGAAGTGGAAAGCACTGTATAAATGGTTTGTGTCCAGCTTAAATGGTAATTGCTATTTGTTCAGCAAGTGTGAGTGATTTAGTGAATGATTGATGTATTTGCATTATTATTTTATTACCTCTGATGTCTCTTTCTGAGGAGACATAGCAAACCTTGAAGGCCTCTGCTTCTGTTTTCATTAAGGAGCGATTGGAGCAGTGAACACATGCACAGCAGTGTTGGTTAGAACCTCTCTGCATGCAGTTCTTCTTCACTGAGTTTCAGACTTGGTGGGGAAGAGAAAGTGTAGCTTGGTCCTAAGCAAATTCATGATGCTTCAGTATATGTGGCCCCTTATCTTTGGATTGGTTGGCCAGGTTTGATTGCTCTTAAGCGATCAAAGCACAAGTTTGTCATTGAGCCATTTAAAGTGCAGGTGACAACCGTGTGACTTTGCTCAAACACTCAAAATCTTGGCATGAGACTCCAATGTGAACATAATTCCAATGCTTACATTAGTTTTAATAAAACAGAGAGGGGTGGTACTGTTACGAAAGTTGGCAGTGTTCAAAAAGAGCCTTGTGGTTCCTCATAAGGTTGATGTTCCCACACATGTCTGGTTACCTGTTCCCTAGTCTTCAGACGTTCTGCCTGAACCATGGAGATGAGGGCAGGAGAGTGGGATATGCTGCTTTTCCTGATTGCCTCTCCTACCTGGGCCTCAAATATCAGGACCGAGAAAACTGTTAATCAGGACATAGACCAGAAAACCTTCCACCCACGGAGCTTGTAGTGGAGATCCAAGCCTTCATCTATAGTTCATTTACATTTTATGTTTGACTGCAGCTTCTGAAAATGAAATTCAAGACTTAAATACTGGCGTGGCATTTGAGGAAGTCTAAAACTTTGGCATTATTAAATGCCAGCACTTCAGAGTCTTGAGAAATCCTGCAAAATATCTAAACTGCAGCATCCCCACACTGTGCTCTAGTTTTTACTCTAGTTTTATTAGGTGTTGCCATACTCTGAAGGTTTTTTTGATTGAAATTGAAATTAATTTCTCAAGACTAAAAATGCTGTCAGAAAACTATGTAATGCAGAAATACTTCACAGTCTCTACCTTTTAAATGAATTTTTTAAGCTAAATTTTGTTCAGTGGCTGACTTGGTTTGGGATTGTCTATTTGGGAACTTGGTATTTCTGGAATTCTTTGGGCTGTGTAATGGACCTGTGTGGTCTCTTGGGTGGTATGCATTTAATCAGCAGCTGATGATTGTGTCCGCATTTTTTCCTTATTCCAGGAGGTCGGGGTGCAGCCTGAAACTAGTTATGTCCAGACCACCTAATCTGGTTACGTTTACCACATGTCCCGTTCTTCTTTCTATAGACTTCAGACCAATCTAAAAAATTGCACACTATTTTGTGATATTTTGATTGCTCCTAATAAAAGAAGTTACAAAATGTTTTTTTTTTTTAATTCAGGAGACCAGCACAGCTACCTGCAGTCTCTGAATTTCTGAATGTGAAAGTATTCAAGAGTCTGTTAGGGATATAATAGATAGAATATTGGATTTCAAACAGGACTAATTGCTGCTTGCTCCTGAATCTCAATAAATAACTTCAGGCTAGTTGACTTCTCTTAGCCTAACCTACCTCACCGGATTGCAAGAGGAAATAACTGCTTAGACTTCTATGAGTGGGATAAACTGCCATGGGTGCCCTTCTTGGTGTAAACATGCAATAGCACTTTTATGCAAGCATCGATGGCTACCATTAGGAATTCCCACTTTCTTAACTCCTGGAATGTTTATGCCTAGTTCCTGCCGCATCTTTGGACTCTGGGTGGCCATTTGGATACCGAAGCAATTAAACCCATTGCCTGGCAGCAGTAACTGTCCTGGGTCAGATCAGAAATAAGAATATAACATAAAACCATAACGTGCACATTTCTGCATTATTTCATGTCTTTGAGGCAAAAGATAAACCTTCATTAGCAGAGTGTTCCTATTAACAGCGTTGTGTACTTGTTTGCTTTCCTGTCTTGCAGTTAATCAATGTTTAACGATTTCTTATACCCTGAAATTCTTGTTGTCTCTGAGGTGCTACTGAACTTGAATCTAATTGTTCTACTGCAGACCAACATGGCTACCTTTTGAAAATATTCCTCCTAAGAAAGCCCTACGTGTTCTTTTTTCTTCAGGGGATGCAGAGAGCTACCAATGTCACCTATCAAGCTCACCATGTCAGTCGGAATAAGAGGGGGCAGGTGGTAGGGACCAGAAGTGGTTTTCGGGGCTGCACAGTCTGGTTAACAGGTACAGTATTGCTGCCTACATGTACACTCTATTTGTTTTGCTGTTGGCCATTTTAGAATGATGGCAATCGTAGGAGGCACCAGCTGAAGATTTTCTGGCTGTTCTTAGGAGCCAAAACTTATATTTCCAACTGACTGCCCCTCCTGATGTCATTCTTTTACTCTTGCAGCACATCTACCCCTGGATTACTAAATATGAACTTTAGGAAAGGTTGGGAGGTTTATCACTTTGCTGTCTGCCAAGTAAGTAATAGGAACTTAGTGAAACGAGAATTGTCAGGAACACTTTAAACATGATGGATTTGCTATACAGGGAGCACTCTGGAGAAGGGGAAAATACTTAAATTACATGCCTCTAAGTTTTGCTGCATGTAGACATACTGGAAAACTGCAGGCTTGTGGGGTTCGGCAGGTGTCCATCATACTATTTAACACGTACAGAAAAATGGCAGGTGAGACAGGCCAGAGATTTGGAATTTGGTGCCATCAATGTGCAAATGACACTCAACTCAGCCTTTCCAGGAACCTGCAGTGTTGTATTTATACTGTGTCAGTTCCAGTGATTACAAATCGGCTTCCAGTCAGAGTTCAAGGTGCCAGTGGATCTTCAAAGGATAAAATAGCTGAGCATCAGGGCACCTGAAGGACTTTGGATACTCAGCTGGTGCCATACTGTGTAACTGAAGCCTGGAAAATGGACATAAGGTTTAGGGGCTTCCCAGCGGTTGAGTCTAGGCTACAGAGTACCCTTCATCAGTAAACTCGTTTGGCATCCTCACTTTCAGGCATCAGGTTAAGACATTCTTGATCTCCTCCTTTTTTAATTAATGTTTTGATGCTGCCTTGAACTTGTGTGCATTTTTAATGTATATCTTTGTAACCAATCTTAATGGAAAGGTGGAATACAGATATTTTATGGGCAGGATTCTATGAATCTATTCCAGGGAGCCTTAAATAGGAAGTCTGACTGCATCACAGGCAGGTCGGGGTCACAACATCGTTTGACCATCCCAGGTCCTAAGGATGCCAGGCTCGCTGTCACCAGGGCCAGGGCTTTTTCAGTGGCGGCTCCCTACTGGTGGAATGAGCTCCCGGAAGAGATCAGGGCCCTGCAAGATCTTTTACAGTTCTGCAGGGCCTGCAAGACGAAGCTCTTCCACAAGGCTTTCAACTAGGAGCCACCCACCACTACCACCAACATCTGTGGTGGTGGGCTGGCCCGGGTTTGGCGATCAGTTATACCATCGTTTGATGTTGGAAGTTTATTGAGCTGGAAATCGTGTGTGTTCCACTACCATGTTTCCCTGAAAATAAGACCTACCCCCCAAATAAGCCCTAGCAGGATTTCTATGCATTTGTGGTATATGCCCTAGTGTGTCTTCTTGAGAAAAAATAAATATAAGACAGTGCCTTATTTTCGGGGAAACACGGTACATAATATGCCATCTTATCAACGAAGAAGCACTTTCATTATGTGATTATTTAAAATGTTTTACTGTTTTTATGTGTTTTATTTGGACTTATGGTACTTGTGCCAATTAATGTAAGCCGCCCTGAGCCCATTCGCGGGGAGGGCGGGATAAAAATTGAATAAAATAAATAAATAATTTGACAAAGGGAAGGAAAGGCTCTGGTCTTGTGTAAGCAGAAGTGCCTAGAACTGGAGAAGAGCAGATGACCCTACCTGCAATGCAGTGCAAGCAGAGCAAGGATTAGAATCCAAGCCTGTGTAGTCAAGGCTGCAGGATGTACACAGAAAATGAATCCATTGAACTCTGTGGGTTTTTTGGGGGGTATAGCTGGCCAGTGTTGTGTTTTCACTCCCATAACTATGGTGAATCAGCCAAGTATTCTTGATTTTTTTTACAAAAAGACTCTACTTTCCCCGTAATCTATATATCTCATTCTCAATAGTCCCCTCTGCGTGTGGATACTTATTTCCGCAGGTGGGGGCACACTCACCCCAACAGGTTTTTCCATAGACTCAGGAGACTTCCTGGGTCTGTAGAAAAATCCCAAAAGTAAAACAAAAACCTCAGGGAGGGTTGAATCCCCCCCCCCATACGTTTTTGAGATGGCCCTTGCAGGGATCTACTCCAGGCCCCACTGCACCAACAGTGAGAGGGCTTCCAGTCAGAGTTCAAGGTGCCAGTGGATCTTCAAAGGATAAAATAGCTGAGCATCAGGGCACCTGAAGGACTTTGGATACTCAGCTGGTGCCATACTGTGTAACCGAAGCCTGGAAAATGGGCATGAGGTTTAGGGGCTTCCCAGCGGTTGAGTCTAGGCTACAAAGTACCCTTCATCAGTAAACTTGTTTGGCATCCTCACTTTCAGGCATCAGGTTAAGACAGTCTTGATCTCCTTTTTTAATTAATGTTTTGATGCGGCGGGTAACGGGCCTCCCGGGCGGGAATTTACCCACCCCCAGCAGGGGCTTGACAAGCCTAAGACAGAGAGAAAGGGGAGGAAACTAAAAGCAGGACTGGATCTCTGATTGGGGAGGAGTCCTCTTGCAGTATGGTTTGGAGCCAGGCCTGGGACTAGGATTGCCCGCTCCAGGTTGGGAAATTCTTGGAGATTCTGTGGTGAAGTCTGAGGAGACCAGAGTTTGGGGTGGGGAGAGGCCTCAGCTGGATATAATGCAACAGAATCCACCCATTTTCTTCAGGGGGACAGATCTTTGTTGTCTGGAGTTCAGTTGTAATTGTGGGGGATCTCTGGGTGACATGATACCACCTGACTTGCATGATTCAACTAGGCCTGGCTGCTTGCTACTGTTCAACAACAACCCTGTGAAAGTCAGTGTAGTATAAGTAGTATCAGAGCTTCGGAGCAGGGTATGCGAGACCCAGGTTTAGATCTCCATCTTGATATGGAAGCTCACTGGGTGATTTTGGACCAGTCCCATACTTTCAGCCTAACCTGCCTCATAGGATTGTTGTGTGGATAAAAAGGAGGAGAGAATAATGTCAACTGCTTTAGTCCCCACTGTGGAGAAAGACCATAGTTTTCCTCAGTAGAAGTTGCAGGGGGAAAGGAGACAGAAAGTTGAAGACAGAGGGGCAGATAAAGGTAGGTTGGCTGTAGGGTGGGAAGGAGATAGGGATGCTGACTCCAGGTAGGGAAATTCCTGGATATTTGAGGAGTGGAGCCTGAGGATGGTGGGGATTGAGGCAGGAAGGGACTTTAGACAGATATAATGCCATAGACTCCACCCCCCAAGCAGTCATTTCCTCCAGGGGAACTAATGTTGCCAACCTCCAGGTGAGGGTTGGAGATCTCCTGGAATTACAACTGGTCTCCAGATCAGTTCCCCTGGAGAAAATGGCTGCTTTGAAGGGTGGAATTTATGGTATTATACCCTGCTGAGGTCACTTCCAAGCTCAAAACTCATCATCCAAAGGCTCCACCCTCATATTTCCAGGAATTTTCCAACATGGAGCTGGCAACCTTAAGAGGAACTGAATCCTGTATTTGGGAAACTCGTTGTGATTTCTGGAGAGCGTCTGCTGCGTCTGCTGAAGTGGGTGGTGGTGAAAGTAAATGGGAGGCTGGGAGAGTGATGGGCAGAAAGAGTGATGGAGGGGGAGAGAAAGAGAGAGCAAGAAAAGGGGTAGCAGGAAGGAGAAACAGTGTGAGAGAATTAGGGGGAGAGGGGAAGAAGCAGAGGTTAGGGGGATGGGATAGTCACTCCTGCAAGTTTCTTGCGGGTCCCCACTCGTTACATCAATAGGCTTGCAAAGAAGAAGTTAATTACCAATGCTGAATGAATGTCACTCTTTTTTTGTTTAAAAACCTGTAATAATGTAGGACTGTCTGGAGCTGGGAAAACCACAGTTAGCATGGCATTGGAAGAGTATCTGGTGTGTCATGGCATCCCATGCTATACCTTGGATGGTGACAACATCAGGCAAGGCCTCAATAAGAACTTGGGTTTCTCCCCGGAAGACAGGGAGGAAAACGTCCGCCGGATTGCTGAGGTTGCCAAGCTGTTTGCAGATGCTGGCCTAGTGTGCATCACTAGCTTTATTTCTCCTTATACCCAGGTGAGCACCCGATGACCTCCTTTTGCACTACTGTAATTATACTGAAATGCGGCAGTTTCAGAAAGTGTGGTCATAATTAATCACTTTGGTTAATACAAACAGTAGAATAAAGTGGAATGTGGTTTTTTTAAGTATATTTTTATTACGTTTTCTTCAAAGCCATGAACAAATATGTAATTGATAATTTATACAAACTTGCTGTGGAAGAGCTTACAGCAGCCTTGTCTTCTATACTCCATAATTAAACTTTTTAGCCTAACCATTCAGGCTCAATTTCCAATTGTAGAGTTTAATCCAATTTCTTTTCTTTTCTTTTTCTTTCTTTTTTGCTTTTGATGGTCCCCTATGTTTAGAAGCAGCTTTTGAGAGGTGTAGGAGGTCCTGTAGTGGAAAGAGGTGAACCCTATAAACTCATCTCAGACCTTTGGATGTGGGTTATATTGAAACAGCAAATTTAACCATTAGACTAAGTAAAAAAAAACCCCAGGTCTGATGCAGATTTTGAGGTTGATGAGACAAAGGAACACCTCTTCACTGGTGACCTTTTTAGAGTGGTGTTGTAATCTGCTTGCTTGAGCACATATGGGTGCAGCTGAAAAGAAACAGACGGTACCAGGTTGAAAGCAACATCACTTCAGCCCCCGTTTAGCACAGCAAAACCAGCAACTTCTCCAACTTTTTATCTTATTCTCCTTGGGTAAAGATGGTTTCTGCTCCAATATTGCCAGATAGGTACAACTGAGGGCACATTTGATGGTAGCTAAATTGCTTACTGAACCAGTAACCCTGTTCTTAATCATGAAGTATTAGGCTATACCAAGGCTGATGGAAAGGCTTTCTCTTTGTCGCTTAGCAGAACAATATGAGTATGGGGCTAGAAGTGTTATTCAGATGTGAAAGTTCATTAGTTTACCTTTAAACCACAAATCGGGATGGAGAGCGAGCAAGCAATGTATGTGTGTATGAGAATGAGAATCTCTTGCTGCTTTGTGCAGCCGAGTGGTTAATAACATGCTCTTTGGCATGTTTCTGTCTATACTAGGTGTGGATAGGTTTAAAGTCACCCAAGGCTAAACAGGTACACATCCCTGTAGTTGGAAATGATCGTCAACAAAGTCTTGAATAACCTCATGAGTGGCTACATCTGGAGGAAGTGTTCATTGATAATACTTTAAAACCCAGCATTTAAAGGTTGAGGTAAAATACCTTGTGCATGGAAATGAGAGAGATTTATAAAAGTTTCTAAAGAACATAAACAAGGTGAAGAGGGGTGAACTGTACAGAGGATAGAACAGTAAGCCAGTGTGCACCCACAATAGTAGTGGTTAAAGGGGAAGTTGTTATTTTAAATCTTTTTTCCAATAAAGAAAAATGTATATATATATAAAAGGTGGTGGTGGGGGAAGTAAACTTGTATATTTTTAAGGGCTTGTTTGATACTGTGGTTTTTAATTGTAAGCTGCCTCAACCAGGACTCTTAACGAGGTGGCATTGAAATGTTCTTAATAAAATAATTTTTAAAAACATTACACGGTCACATATTTAGCACTGTTAATATATGAAACACTGGTTTCAAAATGTGCAATATTTCTGGTTCAGAAAAAAAAGCTGAAAGTTTTTTTTTTTTAAAGGTGATGACCAGATGTTCAGGTTTTTTTTAAAAAGTTCAATGCCTCTCTGAATGTAATTTTCAGCTAGTCCAAATATATGTGTCTTAACACGAAAGGAAAGCTAGTCTGCTTCCTCTTCAAGGAGAACAAATTTTATAAGAAACTTGGTGTCCAAACATGATGGGGATAGAGTGACATTTCTGTGTCTGCAATAAGTGGAAGTACCTCGCTATTGATACTGTAACCCTTCTGTCTCCTTACAGTCAGGTATTGCTGCAGTCTACAGCCATATTGGCCAGAGAGCGTTCAGTATGCATATTCTGTTTCTGAAATAGGAGAAATACTCTGCAGGACAGAGGTCCCTGTGGGCCCCTTTGGAATTCTGACGCAGCATGTTGGTTGTAGCTACAAAATGGCTGCCACAGAATGGCTGCTGCTAAAGATGGAGCCAGACACAAAACGGCTGGTTCAGCTTTCTATCAGTCACACAGTGAAGATCCTTATGCTATGATAGCAGCTGCTGCCAAAGCAACATTTAAAAAAATCTTCACAGCCAATCAAACCACCAGTGGCCAGTTAGAAGACTGGTGAAAGCCCCACCTGGCCTTGCCCACTTTCCAAAAAATACTTGGCAGGCACTAGGAAAGGTGCTGGTGGGTACCGTGGTTCCCATGGGGACCCCTGCTGGAGGAGAAGACAATCTTACTTCTGTTGTGTAGTGACAAGGGTTATAATAAGGTGATTAAAGAGTAGGAGTATAGAGGAACATCTCCACTTTTACTCAGGCAGCTAGACTTTATTCTGGTACTTAATCACAACAGCGAGAATGATTTATGCACAATTTTGGAAAACAGAGAAAGTACCAGAAATTGAGGACTGGATACAAAAAGTTCTGTTCATGGCAGAGATGGACAAAATTACGAAGAAATTGAACAACAAAGAAGATGACGTGTTTTTTCAAGAATGGAGTGACTTTAAAATATATCTGGAAAAGAACTGGGATGTGAAACAAAACTTAATATGTTTAGACCAATATTAAGTCAAATGATGTTATCTTTAGATTGTAATGATAAGAAACTGATATTGTTGATGATATGAAGCAATTTGGAGCAGGGGTGGAAGCATTGTGGGAAGCCAATGGAGGGAGGGGAGGAACTGGGAATGGGGTAGACAATTGAAAGAATGAAATGATTTAATTTTACATGTTGTATTCCTGAAAATAAAATTTGTTTACCAAAAAAAAAGGAATTCTGACGCAGCATGTTGGTTGTAGCTACAAAATGGCTGCCACAGAATGGCTGCTGCTAAAGATGGAGCCAGACACAAAACGGCTGGTTCAGCTTTCTATCAGTCACACAGTGAAGATCCTTATGCTATGATAGCAGCTGCTGCCAAAGCAACATTTAAAAAAATCTTCACAGCCAATCAAACCACCAGTGGCCAGTTAGAAGACTGGTGAAAGCCCCACCTGGCCTTGCCCACTTTCCAAAAAATACTTGGCAGGCACTAGGAAAGGTGCTGGTGGGTACCGTGGTTCCCATGGGGACCCCTGCTGGAGGAGAAGACAATCTTACTTCTGTTGTGTAGTGACAAGGGTTATAATAAGGTGATTAAAGAGTAGGAGTATAGAGGAACATCTCCACTTTTACTCAGGCAGCTGCAATCCCAGATACATCAGCCATGTCTAACACCCAATAAAATAAAAAAGGAGGTCACTGTCTACTCCCCAGAAAAGAAGAAAGAACCCAAAAGGCTCTTTCAGTTCACTACATAACCAGTCTGCTTTTTTGTGGCTGCAGCAAAACCACTGGTAAAGCCAGAAATCTTTTTGCCATATATACTTTTGAGGCTTGGCTGGTCACTTTAGGAGTGATTACAGTGATGCCCCAAATAGTGTTTTCACTGGGCAATCCTGAATTTTGTTTGCAAGAATGCAAAAAGACCCATTATAGAGCTCTTTAATTCATATGCCTGTATGAAAATTCACATATGTTAGCAATACTGGTACGCACTGAAATGCATACTGAAGAACTTTTCCTACCTTTATGACAAAAGATAAGATCAAGCATCTGTTCAAATAGAATTTTAAAATGACTTGGCTGCTTTACAAACCATCGCCTGTAATGGCTCAGCAAGAGCTTGAATTGCCTTCATAAAAAGCAACAATCTGTTTCTGAAAACTGAATATTTGTAATGTCTATGTCATGGGTGTTTCAGGCTACTTGGAATGTATTGTATACATGCATCAACATTGCAGTGAAAAGTATAAACTAATAACTTGAATTTGTTGTGTTTAAATAAAATGAACAAGCAGATGTTAATATCCAGTTAGGATTTCAAACAAAATTTAGCTATAGGTTGATAACATTGATGGCTACTGAATTTTAATTCTTTACTCCCCTCCCCATGTATCTGACCTTAACGTCCCTGTGAATTGTTGTTGGTTGTTCAAGAGCCAGTCTTTCAATGGATCTGTTTCTTTCTTCCTTTCCCTGTGTGGTATTAACCAGTAGTTTCAGTTGACATGTGAAATCACATAATGCATGATTAAATGCAAACCTGTTTCCTTTGTAACCATACCTAGGAAACCCGCTTCAAACCATGTTTACGGTTTCTGATTTGAAAAGCCTCTGGTTTGTGTTAGCTGTGGATTGCATAGGTACATGTGTAGCTGTCTGAATATGTTTAGTAATAGAGCTGTTATTTTCCCTTTTGTCGCTTCTTAGGATCGTAATAATGCCCGGCAAATTCATGAAGCATCAAGTCTGCCTTTTTTTGAAGTATTTGTTGATGCTCCACTGCATGTTTGTGAGCAGAGAGATGTGAAAGGCCTTTACAAAAAGGCTCGTGCCGGAGAAATTAAAGGTGAGTCTGATGCAGTCAGAATCCTTCTATAGTAATGACATGATTGAATGGACTACATGATTGAAATGAAATCTCAATGGATTTGGTGTTTCAGCGGGCGTCTGGAGCAGCTACTGGTATCCTCACCGGTCAGTCCCGCGCCCACAGTGGCTGCTGGTGTTCACTGTGGCGGTGCCTGGGCCCTCAGAGCTGCTGGTGTCTGCCACCATGGAGCCCAGGACCACAGCGGCTGCCAGCAAGCTCTCCTGCGGATTGGCCTGCAGTGGGTGCCAGTGTCCTTCATCACCAGACCCTCAGTACTTGCTGGTGTCAGCTGCCGCTGTGCCTGGGGCAGCAGCTGGTGTCCTGCTCATCTGTGGCACCCCGCTGTAACTGCTTTCCCCAAGTGCAATTGTAGTGGGGGGGAATATATTTTTTTTAAGATTTTTCTGCACATCTGGGGAGTCCCTCAGGTGTGCAGAAAAATCTCTCTAGCCTCTGTGTGGCCCTGAGCCGTGGATTTAGCTCTCTGCAGATCATGACTACACGTGGCTAATTGTATATAGATAGCATCCATGGAATTACGTGGGAAAGAAAAGTACAGCTGGGTGTTATCTGCATATTGGGGATGCCAGAGCCCATAGCTCCTGTTGACTGCTCCCAGTGGCTTCATATAGATATTAAAATAGGCTTGAACTGCATATGTTGCTGCAAGGAACAACTTGTCACATAATTCAATGGCAAAATTAATTGAGTGCTAGGGTCCCCTCCCTGGTTCACACTTTCATTTCAGTGTAGAGATGTAAACTTCAGGAAATTTTGAAGCCATGGAAAAAACCTGTTTCCCCCCAGAAAAAACCAGAAATTTTCTGAAAAAATGAAAAAATGCAATATTAGTACTCTTTATGGATTAAAAGATTGAAAGTCACTTTGTTACTTTGGGAACATAAAATGCAGTATACGTAATTTGGCTTGGCGCAGAAGTATCATGTTTGATATATTAAAAGTACAGCTTATTCACAAATTAATAACAAATTGAATTTGCTTTTTGAAGTTATATTTTTTGTTACAAATGGGACAACAAGGTCCTGAAATGTAAAGAACACCTGAACTATAAGGAACCTTTTTTGCCAGTTTTTGAGAGCAGGCAAACCCCGCCCCCCAAAAAACCCCCCCAAAGAAACCATCAACATAATAAAACTAAGAACTTTACCGCCTCTAATCCTCCTACTCCTCTATAGTACAGGCAGCTGAGAGGACAGAAACAGATCCAGGAACTATACCAACACGATGAAGCCCCCAAGCAAAAAGGACACTGTAACCTTTTTCCTTCGCTTGTGACAACTGCAGTGCCCCCTAGAGGCAGAAATGCATCCTTCTCTTCAGCTTGAGAATTGTGTTCTCAATATTTGAATTGTATTCCAGCATTTGCTTATCCTCAGTGTACAGGAATTGCAATGATTTGATAGTTTTTATTTATTTATTTATTTATTTAGTTGAGATTTATATCCTGCCCTTCGAAGCGGCTCAGGGCGGCTAACAAGCGGCTAATGCCGGATTAAATAGATAAAATACAATAAAACAATATTACATATCCACAATAAAATTCATAACGGTATTCAAGGTGGTCTTATTTATTTATTTATTTGAGATTTATATAGTACATGTATATAGTTTACATATATATAGTTTACATAGTCTTACAAAAAAGTCTTCATGTTACATAGTTTTTAGAAATAATATTGGAGGATTATGTTTATGAACACCTTGTCATAAACATGTTATCTATCACTGTAAAAAAAATTCCATAATCCACTTTTTGCGATTTTTCTGGAAAGAATGCCAAAAAACTGCCCCCCCCCCCCATTTTTCCGTTCTTTTCCCCGGGCCTTCCCATCTCTAGTTTACAATAACTTGCAGCAGCAAAGACCTTTTTCCCTTGGCAGCAGGCATAGAAGGGAGACGTCACATTATCATCTGTCTGGAAGCATTTGTCCGTAACACAGTGGCTGATGCATAGGTCTGATGCCTAAGTCTAAGTAGTGTAGGTGCTGGATGATCCTTGAAGGGGAGGGCAATCCATAGAGAACATGCCACCAGTGAAAAATTATGGCTGTTGCCACTTGTCTCTCTAGGCAGGGTACCAAAAGAGCAGAGCTTGCAGTGAAGATTTTAATTAACTGGTTGGATTTTACTCCTGGATGGACCAATAAGGACCAGCAATATTAGATGCATCTGCCAAAGCAACCTTTCATTTTACATAGTTAGAGAGCTTAGCATTCTGTTGGTCCCAGTTGAAGAATCTGTTCTGAAAAGCAGTAGTATTTTAAGTTCTCTCTTTCATGCAGGTTTTACTGGCATTGACTCAGAGTATGAAAAGCCTGAAGCCCCTGAGCTGGTACTGAAAACAGATTCCTGTGATGTCAACGACTGCATTCAGCAAGTTGTGGAACTTCTGCAAGAGAGGGTATGGAGTTAGGTGGTGACTTCTGTGCAGCCTGTAAAGTCTTTGGTGGGATGTGGATGCAGGAATAAGGGCTTACTTACGTTAGGGCTGCACTGTTTACATGCCCAGTTAACTGGGCAGCTTTTTTTTTTTAATGCAAGAACTTGCAAAAACCAGCAAGCACTTTCTATGACGGCAAAGGTCTTCACCATTACATACCTGACAAGGGCAATTTTTTTTCTTCACATGGGGTATCAGAATATTGGCCAAGTTTTTACCATTGTCTCTATTGTCTGAAACCTACGGGACTGCCTCTTCCAAGAAGGTGCCTGCTACAGTATATGCATGCTTCCTGTAAAAGTACAGACAGTGTTCTCTTTTAAGAATAATAGTTTATTCATGTGCAGACTTAATTAAATTGAATCATTGAACTGGTTAAAACTCACATCATTGTTCGACTAAGATTATTTTTAACTGGGTGACAGTCCTTTTTAAAAATGCAATTGTAAAAGCTGCAATTGTTGAATATTCCCCTGCGGCATGTCAGTGTTTCAACATTCAAAATCTGACAGGAAAATGGATCATAAATAAGATAAATTGAGTTTTCTTTTAATATATTGAGGTTCACAAAAGCCGTTGTCAGGCTGCCATGACATGACGTTATGGTCTTATGTATTTGGAGTATGGAAAGAGAACTGCCATTGCTTTATGAATCAAATAGTACATGAACCGTACACAGTGTATTGATGATGTTGTTTATAACTCTGGCTGCCATCCTTGAAACAACTTGAATAACTTATGTTTAAGGGGGGAAGAATGTGTATTGAAGTCTTTGAAATACTTGCAGAGTAAATGACTTTACAATAGGAAAAGTTAATTGTGTTCCAAAACTGCATCTCCCCCAAAGGGAGTCCTAATGTGAATTCCTGTACTGGGAGGAGTGTGTACTTGTAGAGAAGATATGTACTTTGTGGATCTGGAGGAACTGAAAGGTGGGGTATGACCAAAGAAGAAATTCTGTGGTGATGCTCTTTAGTATTTGGAAAGCTTCTACAATAGATAGCCCTTTCTCGAGTGGATACTTGTTCGTTACACTAAGAATGAATGAAATTGAGGGGTATGCTGCTGGCTTTTATTGTGTCTCCAATACTGATCCATGCTTTGGTCACCTTGAGCCTTGACTATTTTTTTATTTATTTATTTAACCTTAGACTTTATATCCCGCTCGAACCCCCTTTCTCAGGGGGTCTCAGAGCGGCTTACAGGCGGTGCTAGTCACACAATTAATTCCTAACTGGGGCCACAAGGTTTGTAGGGACAGGGTTACCTATCAGCACCCAGTTACCCTAATGTAATAAGGTGTATGTGGGGCTGCCCTAGTAGAAGACCCAGAAACATTAATTAGTTTGGAACGCAGCAGCCAGATTACTATCAAGAGTGAGTCTCTCTGTATTAAGCCAAACTTGTGATCTTTGCACTGGCTGCCTCTCTCTTTCCAAGCGCAATTCATGGTGCTTGGACTTGCTTTGAAACCCCTTTACAATCTAGGTGACATGTATATGAAGGACTTTGTCCTTATGTGGACCTGTCTGACCTTTTGAATAGAATCATCGAATGTTAGAGTTGGAAGGGACCTTGCAGGTCATCTAGTCCAACCCCCTGCACTCTGCAGGAGCATAGTCGAAAGATAGCCCTACAACATACCCGAAAGATGGTCATCCAGCCTCTGCTTGAAAATGTCCAGCGAAGGAGCATCCACCACCTCCCGAGGCAGTCTGTTCCACTGCTCAACCACTCTTACAGTTAGGAAGTTTCTCCTAATATTTAGCCAGTAATGACTCCCTTGTAATTTCCACCCATTAGATCTAGTCTTGCAATCCGGAGCAAGAGAGAATAGATCCACTCCATCTTCTAAATGACAGCCCTTCAAATACTTGAAGACTGCAATCATGTCCCCTTTAAGCCTTCTCTTTCCCAGGCTAAACATACCCAGCTCTTTCAGCCTTTCCTCATAAGACTTGGATTCCAACCACCATCCTGGTTGCCCTCTTCTGGACACGCTCAAGCTTGTCAACATCCTTCCTAAAATGTGGTGCCCAAAACTGGACACAGTACTCCAGGTGAGGCCTGACCATAGCAGAATAGAGCGGAACTACCACTTCCTGTGATCTGGACACAATGCTTCAGTTAATGCATCCTAATATTTCATTAGCTTTCTTCACAGTCACCTTGCACTGCAGGCTCATGTTTAGCTTGTGATCAACCAGAACACCTAGATCCCTTTCACATGTGCTGCTGTCAAGCCAAGTCCCTCCCATTTTATATCTGTGCCTTTGATTTTTTGTACCTAAGTGTAAGACTTTGTGCTTACCTCTATTGAAATTCATTTTATTTGTCTCAGCCCACTATTCCAGCCTACCTAGATCATTCTGAATCCTGACTCTGTCTTCTTCAGAATTAGCAATCCCACCCAGCTTTGTGTCATCTGCAGATTTGATAAGCATCCCCTCTATGTCTTCCTCCAGGTCATTTATAAAAACATTGAACAACACCGGGCCCAG